TCTCTCTCTCTCTCTCTCTCTCTCTCTCTCTCTCTCTCTCTCTTTCTCTCTCTCTCTCTCTCCCTCCCTCCCTCCCTCCCTCCTTCTCTCTCTCTTTCTTTCTTTCAAGGACAGAGAGCACATGTCAGACCTGAGTCTTTCTCCCCCCAACATCTCTAATTATTATAATCCACTTATAATTTTGAAGAATTGGTGGTCTCCAAATCCAAGCCTGGTTAAGGTACACTTGACATTGTCTCAGCCGAGAAAACCATAAGCCATACTCTGGATTGAGGCTCCAATAAACCGACCTGTTTTCTTCAAACACTTCCCTTAAAATACTGCCCTGGACCAGCAAGATGGCTCAGCAGGTAAAGGTTTTTGCTGCCAAGCCTGATGACCTGAGTTTGACCCCCAGGACCCACCCAGGAAAAAGAGAGACACAACTCCCATGAACTGTGTTCTGACCTGCCTTGCATGCCATGGCATATGCATCGACACACAGACACACAAGTGAATAAAGTAACTGCAGGATAGATAAGTGTTTAATTAAACAAATGCTGCCCCGAGAGAGGAACGAGGAGAAGCAGGATGTGAGAATTAGCCTGAAACTCAGGCCTGGCTGTGAGCCACGTGGGAAACAGCTACTTAAGCCAATACATCTCATTTATCCCAGAATGCCTCAGGCTCTAGAGGTTTGGAAACTGAAGTCCCAAGCTTCTGTAATGTTTAAATGGCCTACATTTTCTTCTCTCTCTGTTTAGTGGCTGCAAATGGAAGCCCAAAGTGTGCTGGTTTTATTATTCCCTGATGTGTAAAGAACACAGTAGCACACGATGTTAACACATGAAATGGCTGGACAATCCCCACAATTTAATGCAGGTGGCACCTCAAAACCAGAAGCAGAATATTCTCTCCCCGAAGTGATGTCTGCACCCTAATCCTCAGGACCTACGAATTTGCCAACTCACTATGACAAGGCACTCTGGGAATGGGGTTAATGTCTTCATGTGGCACCATGATGATGGCCTAGGGCCCACCATGACACACATTCCCCACAGGAAGGTTGGGAACAGCTCGAAGTGGGAAAGAGGCTGACTGACTTTGAAACTGATGACATGGAATAGGTGACATGGGACCCGAGGTCAGCAACGTGGACAGACAAGACCCTAGAAGGGGCAAGAAGTGACCAATTGTATGAATAATGGTGGCATGAAGGATGAGGAGGGAACTTTAACATTCTGTCCTATAAGGAGACATGCAGAGAATCTAGACACCTATATGAACAGCTTCACGCATGCGTGCTGTTACTAGTTTGTTCTAGGTTAACCTCTCTACCATCGCCCTGGTCTACACTATTCACATTCCAAGCAGAGACTGAGCACAAGTATCCAAAGAATGATGAAAGTGTAAGAACCTGTAACAAGAGACAGGGAGGCTGGGAAGATGGCCCAGTGGTTAAGAATGCTTGCTTCTCTTGCAAAGGACCTGGGTTCAGCACTCACATGGCCACTCACAGTCACCTAGAAGTACAATTTCAGGGGATCCAAAGCCCTCTTCTGGCCTCCAAGGACACTAGACAAGAACACAATTTACAAACTTGCATGCAGGCAAAATGCTCACACACATAGATTTAAAAACAGGACAGACAAGGACACCATGGGTCTCAGAAAACTGCCCTGACACCTGGCTGAGCTCCAAACGGGCTGCTTTGTGCCTAACTCCACCCCCAACCCCATACTGCTTGCTGGCTGCAAACGAGATGTGAGACGAGATGTAAAGATGGAATTCTACTGTCATCTCAGATCACAGACCGAATAAAGCACACCTTAATTAAAGCTTCCGTCCCTGCCTCGGCTCACTGGCATTTATGGTGAAAGATAACATGAACACTGATATTCCAGCAACACAAATATACACTCTCCACACGCGTCTGTGTTCGCTTGTGTGTGTCTGCTTATGTCGTGTGCAGGTGCCTACAAAGGCCAAAAGAAAGCATCAGATTGCTGGGAGCTGGAGTTACAGGTTGCTGCAAGCCTCCTGACATACAGCAAACTCAGGTTCTCTAGAGGAGCAGCAAGTACTCTGAACTGTTGAGCTGTCTCTCCAGCCCCCATTTGCTGTTTTAAAGGGAGACTATAATTCTAAGTCTTGTTCCTCTGTAGCAAATACTGCGGAAGTTAGATGTAACAATATTACACATACAAAGACTGAAGGAATAGACCTGAAGCTCTGAATCTGTGGTTGTTGTAGAATATTTCTCTACCTATGTAGAGATGTGTTGCATTTGTTTATGCTGCATTTCTCTAACTATGTAGAGATGTGTTGCATTTGTTTCACCTTGCCTGCCTAATTGGTCTAATAAAAAGCCGAGCAGCCAATAGCCAGTGAGTAGAGGGACAGGAGGGCTGGCGGACAGAAGGAATAAGCAGGAGGAGGAATCTAGGAGTGAGAGAGGAGGGGGGAGAGGGAGATGCCAGGGACAGCCAGCTGGGTAGCTGCCAAGCCAGCCAAGCAGAAAAAGCAGAAAAGACATACAGAAGGAATAAAGAGGGAAAAAGCCCCGAGGCAAAATGTAGATGAAGAGAAACAGGTTAAAATAAGCTATAAGAGCTATCTAGAAATGAGCGTAAGCTAAGGCCAAGTATTCATGATAATAAAAAGGCTCCGTGTCGTGATTTGGGGGCTGGCAGTCAGAGAAAGCCTGCTACATATAGTTTTTCTGGAGAAGGCCATCTTCCAGAAATGCTCTAGAAAAGGTTGTCACTGTGAGTGGAGAGCACCTGGGGCTTGTGGAAGACCTTTCACATCCCCCGTATCTCAGAGGCCTGTCGCTGGGTTCAACCTTCCTAACCCTCCCAGGACATCCTTGAAAGTCACTTTCCAGGAGTGTCTCTGTCCTGGCTGTGACATGTGTGTACTTAATCCTCTTCTATACATCGAGGGGCATTGTGAATTAGGGCCAAGTCCACCCTGAAACTGGCCAGCACATCTCCAGTACTCTTTCATTTCTTGCCAGCTGCACACAGTCTGGGAGACTGGCCAGACGTTACCAATGCAGGGCTTTCCTCCGCCCCTTCACAGCAGGTACGCCTGCCCATCCATAGCAACTGAGAGGATCAATCCCAGGACCCCAGGACCGCCCTGTGGCTGGAGAGGGGCAGAGCTCAGGGATACTGGTTCACAGCACAGTGCCACTCCGTCATCACTGTCACCACTACCTTAGAGGGGCCACAAGTAACACCAACAGCTAGTACATTTACAGAGCTAAACCACAAAGAGCTATGCCCCCTAGGACACCACGCAGCAGACAGCCACCACCAGTCAGGAAGGACACCCAGACTGACTTACCCGCCGATCTTGCAGTCCCCAGTTCCACCTTGCCAGGCTCTGACATACTTTGGATTGGCCCACAGTGACACTGGATTAAAGGTTCCGCTAGAAAAATAAGGTCCCACAGGGCTCAGGATCACAAAGAGCAAGGCTCTGCATGGCTTCTTGACTCCAAGAGATTGCTGTAATAAAGAGAAAATGCACACCTCTGTAATGGACAGTGGAACATCCTTCTTAAAGTCTAGAATAGACCTGTGCCCACCTCCCAGAGGAGTACCCAACCGAAGTCCAGTGACACAAAGCCTTTTAAAGAAAACACTGACAATGGGTATTTAAGTCCTGGGGTGGGAGGGGCAGGACCAGAGGGGACACAAGATGGCCCAGTAGGTAAAGGCGCTTGCTTGCTGCCAGGCCTGCAGACTCAACTCACTTGTGATGATCCCTGGACATCACACGGTGGGAAGAAGAGACTGACCCGATAAGCTGTCTCCTCACCGCCACACACATGCTATGGCATGCACATTCCTGCATCCCCACCCTGCACACACATAAATAATTGTAATTTTTAAAGCTTTAAGTTTCATTTTGGTTTGCTTTCTGAGCTATGATTTTAGAGGGAAAAACACATCTTTCGGTTGCAGTTGCTGCTATTGCCAACAGCAGGTGAGGAGTCTGTCTCTAACCCCTTCAGCTCTTCTCCCAGCCTGCTGCTGGGCACTCCAGAACATGTGAGGACAGTGAGCAGAGAGCAGATGGGGAGTGAGGCTGTGATCACGCCTGCCTGGAAGGCACAGAAAAGGCAGCAGAGAGGGTAGCTTTTCTAGAGGCAAAGACAGACGGGAGAAATAACATCAAAAGGACAGGAGAGAATGATCCAGAGCTCACAGCATGAACAGGGAGCTGGAGAGGTGGTCCAGTAGCTAACAGCACTAGCTGCTCTTGTAGGGGACCCAGGTTCAGTTCCCAGCACCCACATGGAAGCCCACAGCTGTTCATAACTCGACTGTCAGGGGATCCAGTGCCCTCTTCTGGCCATCACAAGTACTGCACACACATAGCGTACATACAAAAATGCAGGCAAACAACCATGCACATAAAATAAAAATAAATAAATCTTTAAATAATAAATAAATAAAAGATAGCCTTTTCCACAAGTACCAGAAACCTACAAATTCCTCCAACATGAGGGAGGCTCTTAAGTCGGGTCAGTGGATTATTAGAGACTGAAAGTCCTAGAGGCCGAGTGTCATAAAGGGAGAATGGTCTGTCTCCAGTCAGCTTTGTAGTGCAAGACCTCAGGAACAGACAAACCAACCAGGATGGCCCATGATGGGCTAACCGCTGCAGCCTGCCCTGCCTGGGCTGCCGCAGCCTGCCCTGCCCTGCCCTGCTCACACCGCAGCCTGCCCTGCCCACACCCCTGCAGCCTGCCCTGCCCACACCCCTGCAGCCTGCCCTGCCTTGCCCTGCCCATACTGCTGCAGCCTGCCCTGCCCTGCCCTGCCCTGCCCTGCCCACACCACTGCAGCCTGCCCTGCCCTGCCCACACCACTGCAGCCTGCCCTGCCCGCACTGCCGCAGCCTGCCCTGCCTGCACCGCCGCAGCCTGCCCTGCCTACATCCCAGTGGATGGCAGCCATAAAGAGATGGCTCAGAGGTTAAGAGCACTGACTGCTCTTCCAAAGGTCCTGAGTTCAATTCCCAGCAACCACATGGTGGCTCACAACCATCTGTAATGAGATCTGGTGCCCTCTTCTGGCCTGTAGTCATATATGCTGTATATATAATAAATAAATATCTAAGAGTGACAGAGACTCTGGATGCTGCACGCCTCATGCTGTCTGCATGACAAGCTGACGCTGGGCTCTCAAGTGGCCTTTTACCTGCATTTCCAATACACCTGCCTCCACTGCACTGTCTATCGGGGTCCACCCATTAGGAACCAGGTGGTAGCTGAGTGGAGACGTCGCACGCCTTTAATCCCACTACTTGGGAGACAGAGACAGGCAGATCTCTGAGTTCAAGGCCAGCTTGGTCTACAGTGTGAGTTCTGGGCTACACAGAGAAACCCTGGCTTGGAAAAAAAAAAAGGAGGAAGAGGAAGAAGAAGGAAGGAGGAGGAAGAGGAGGAGAAGGAGAAGGAGGAGGAAAAGGAGAAGGAGGAGAAGAACAACTGGATGGTAAATATCTGTAAGCCTTGAAAAACTCTGTTGGCTGATGAGATGGCATATTTGCCGTGTAAGCCTGAGTACCTCAGTTCAATCCCCAGGACCAATGTTAAAAATCCAGATATGGTGGGATGTGTCTGTAACCCCTGCACTCCTCCAGTGAGGTGGGAAGAGGAGACAAGACAATCCACCAGAAGCTTGTTGGCCGGCTAGCCTGTGGTACACAACATGGCAGCCAGATCTCACCTCAACAAGGTGAAACAGGAGAACAACCTCAGAAGCTGACTTCTAGCCTGTGCACCTGTACTCCTGTGCCGTGATGCGTGCGCGCATGAGAGCGTGCACACACACACACACACACACACACACACACACACACACACACACACACTGCCTGGGTAGGTAACAATGTCACCTAACAGCCTCCACCTCTCTCTATCAGGAAGACCAAGCAGGGGGCTGAGACCCTAGAACAAACTGATGGTCAACTGTGACTGAGCCAGAGACCAGTCAGGGAGCCCATAAAGCCTTTGCTTTGGGGCTGGTTTGGGGTTGGTTTTTGCTGTTATTGGTTTGGTTTGGTTTTTTTGAGGGGGAGCAGTCTCTCTACATAGTCCTGGCTATTCTGGAACTTATAGGGATCCGCCTCCTCTGCCTCCTGAGTGCTGGGATTAAAGGTGTGTGCCACCACACCAGGCAAGTGTCCGTTCTTTAATAGGAACTTTGTCGGAACATGGGAATCTCCTCCCCTCACCCCCATGCAGGATGAAGATCCTGGACTCCACTGTCCTTTCACTGGGGAGGGAGGCTGTGTGTGAACACACACTGTGGGAGGCTGTGCGTGAACACACACTGTAGGAGGCTGTGCGTAAACACACACTGTTCCTCCCAGCTCTGAAGAAATGGCACTGACCCTGAGTGGGCAGGACTGGATGGAGGTATCCGGCTGCTGCGGCTCAGCTGTGCCTCTGCTCAGAGCGCTCCTGCGGCTAAGTGGCCATCGGGATACTTCTACTGTGCCAGAAGTGAGGGCACCCCGGAGGGCACATTCCCAGGGGCTACATGCCAACACCAGCGGGTCCTGGCTTCATTGTAACACTCTCCTGGCGGTTGTCACCCCCTCTGCCCTGTGGGCTTTTCTAGAAACTGGTAGGAAGAAATACCCTAAAAGGGAAAGCCTGGCCACCATCACCAGAGGGAAAAGGGGTCACCTTACCCCATACACACCACTCACCTTATAAATACCCATAAAAATGCCGGGTAAACCCAGTACAACTAGCCTGGAAGAGGAGGGGTTCACGAGGGGGGGGGCAATGGGGGGAGAACAAACGGCTCCAGATACATTACGGGAGGAAGTGAAAACGTCATGAGACCCCTGGGTACAATTAACAACACTAATGCAAAGTAAAATGTCAAAATCCACAACCCAGAGTCCACTGGGCTCTCCTCCCGTTAACAGGTCAGCCTGTTGTGGAATATTTTGTTTGTGTTCAGACAATAAAGCTTGCTTGGAGTCAGAGGACGGAGCTAGCCCTAGTAAACCATAGAGGTCTGGAGGACTGTACAGAGAGGAGAGAGGATTGGTAAGGTGGGGCGGAGACAGAATCTCAGCCCTTTTGGATGGAGGAACAGAAGAGGGAGGAAGCGACTGGGCTGCTCCCCTGCTTCTCTGATCTTTCAGGTTTTTACTCTGACATTGACTCCTGGCTCTTATTGATAAGATTAATTAGATTTACCCATCATCAGCCCACTGCGGGTTCTCTTTGGAATTCAAGCTCTGCTTTGCAAGATGAGCTTTGTCTCTGGATTCCCTTGAGGAAGATAAGAACTGGGAGGAACTTTCGCCCCGCAGCAGGGCCTCACTTCCTGAGGGCTGACAGTTTGCAGCCTCACTGACTTTCTTACGTTAGTGGTGAAGAAGTGATCTCTGGCTTCCTGCTAGTCTCCTCCACCATGAGGGATTCCCTCTTGAATCACAGCCCCAAATAAACTCTTTCTTCTATAAGTTGCCTTGCTCACCACATTTTATCACAACTGGAGAGTAACTGATACAAACAAGAAGGAATCCAGAGAGGCCACTCTGAGTAAATTGCAGGTCCAATGTGCTAACTGCCACCTGAAGGCCACATTTATCTTCTAAATTCTGAACAGACTGTCTTTCTGATGTACAACCCAATAACACTTTGTCACCTACCACATGAATTCTGGAACACCTCACTGGATTTACATAAGCCAATGCAATTTGCATTCTATCAAAAAAATAACAATCACCTAAAACAGAATTTTTTTTTCTGTACTGAATTTTACCTCGTTCGGGCTGAGGAGGAAGATGTGTGGCGGAGAATACAAAGCCCTCTAGGTTTCAACAGCAGTACCAAAGCAAAAGCAAATTTCACTTTGTAACTGTGCTTCATTTGCATTTATTCCACCAGGGGGCGGAAGAGAGCAGACAGAAGGAGAAAGGCAGGATTCAGCACCTCCATCAAATCTGCCTCTAGAAAAAGCATCTTGATGAGTCATTTCATTCATATCTGTTCTTGATTAATCATTTCATTCATATCTGTATCCTTAGCAACAGCTAAGTTATACGTTAGCATTTTTCAATGCTAGCCAAAGCTGCATCTGAGAATGTAACTTCGTACCTTCTAAATTTAAGCCGGGTCCATTCACATCTGCAAGGTCCTCTGTGGACCACACCTGCATTCATTGTCTTTCCATGAAAAGAACTCATTGAGGGAGGGGGGCGGACGGCTCAGCGGTTAAGAGCACTTGTTGCTCTTGCAGAGGACCAGGGTTCAGTTCCCAAAACCCACATGGAGGTTCCCAACCAGCTGTAATTCCAACTCTAGGAGATCCGATGCCCTCTTCTGGCCTCAAGGGAGCACAGTACCCATGTGCACAGATACACATGCAGACAAAATGCTCATAGACATAAAATAAAGATGAAATAAAAATAAATAAATAAATAAAAGAATTCACTGGCTCTCCTGGAGGAGCAGGTGGGAGAAAGTCTC